TAAAACACAGTCATGAAGAGCTAGTACAACAGCACCGGGCCACCCTCATTCACCAGGACAGCCATGGGGGCGTTTCTTCCCCGACGTCTCCCAAAGACGGACATCCACACGGCAAGTACCCAAAAATAATTATTTTCAAAGATTGTATAAAGTTGATATTGAAATTGAAATGTCAAATACTGCTGATTTATCAAATATAGTTGAACTTTGGTATCTCAAACACGGATATCTTGGATACCATGGATATGTTGAAGTGATTTGGAAGTCCTAACCACTTAATCTTTAAGTATTTTACCCTTGATAAAAAAAAATCATTGGATATCTTGAAGTTTTTCCTTGTCCCATCAAATTCGAGATAACGAGATTTGACTGCATTTATTTAATCATAGAAATGAATGAGATTAGGCAAACAGGCAACAAGCAAAACCAGAAAATACCGTTTCCATATTGACACAATCATTTTATTTTACATTATAAATTTTTACATTTACATTATAAATAAAAACCTTATATACTGCTTCTTGACTATAAGTACATGTATTCAACTTCAGAACAGCTGCAAGTGTTCATAAATAATATAGAATTTGCTCTTATCGCGACCATAAGTCAATACAATTTTGAAAAAAAAATTCAAGATTTTACAATGATAAAATTGCTACGTTATTACTATTTATAATAATATTATTTTTTTTCTAGGCATGTTTTTATGGTCAGTCTTTTCCTGAGAATATGTTTATTTCAATTGAAACCATATAAAACTGATATTGCATTCATTTCTTGTGCAAACCTTGGGCATGTTCCATTGAGAGTTGTCTTTCTTGAAATCCCCAATTTATGAAAATTTATGACAAAGTAAACATACACCCAGTATATCATTCTATAAAAAAAATGGATGGGAAAGACATGTTGTAAATACTTAATTTATTTTTATCCTAAATTACTTTTTACTTCACAATGAACACCTGGTATGATAGGTTCTAGCTTGTGTCCCTTTTAACATGATAAATACTGAACCTTGGTGGCACAAATCTTCTATATAGATATCAAGCCTAATACATTTATCTACTTCTCAACCTGTAAAACAACAGAAATGGACAGATGTAACATACTTTTAACTCATTATACCATTGAGTATCTCATAGAATCTATAGCTATAAATGAATCAGTAATAATTGGGTATGGAAGATACAACTCTTATTTCCAAAAGATCTTTGGATGGAACCTAACATGAATAATTGCACATTGAATTTTAGTGATAACTTTAATCTGTCGGACATCTATGTCAGTCAATTCAGGACCCTCAATAATCTTCCAGTTTATTTGATGAATCAAATAGCTTGCATATAGCTAGAAAGAACTTAGTAGGGAATATTTTTTGATGGCTATGGAATATATTAATTAGGCTTTATTGGATATAATTCTTTTTATCTTGCAATGATCTTCATGTCTTCTTTATTTAAACTGGCTTTTCAAAAAGGGGAAATTGAATTGTAGTAACTGATATTTCCTTCTTATTGTTGTAAGTACATATAATGCAAGGTCTAAGCTGCAGTAAAACTGTTCTGTAACCATGATTATAACTGTGAATCGGGTACTTAAACTTTGTAATAACAGTCTTAGGTTAATTCGAGATGAACAAGCTTAATGCTTCCAAAGTAGAATCACGTAGAGCAATCTAAATATAGTGCACCGCAAATTATCCCATATCTTATTACGGCATTGCAGTTGAATATACTTACACAAGTGAACCGTGTGCTGAAGTGTGAATTTATTGGAAAAAAAGAATCAATTATGGAAAAATTTGAATAACATCAGGATTAGCTTAAGGCATAGTGTTGGATATTGTTGGATAAAGAAGCTTAGTGAAATTAAAAGATGTTAAGGATGACATTTTGTCTTTGTTCTTTAGCTTTGTATGGAGACATGAGGGCAAGGGTGCTCATTTGTTTATTATCAAATGATCAAATTTGTGCACATTTCTTTGCATGCATTGCTATTGCTGAAAGGAACTTGCAAGTAGTGGAAGGCAGTTATTGCTCTTTGATGTTGTATTATCACCCAAGTTTTCCAAGATAAGAGGGTATATGAGATATATGTATCTAATTTCAGGTTAACAAAATTGTACTGTTCTTTAAAGAAAACGAGGGAGGTATTCTCAAGTACATCAACTTTAAAATTTTTTTTTAAAGATTTAACCAAGATTAAGTTGACTAGGCAGATTTTTTCTACAAAGATGCATAAATGTGCAAGGAGGTTTAATTAATCATACTGCACTCAAGGAAAAAAAGTGGGATTTTTATGATCAAAGAATTTTTGGGTACGGGATATGTTTCCCTCTTTAAAGTTTCTATGGAATAAAAAACCTGGTCAATCCCCCCAATATATTTTGTTAAAACATTCAGTTTGAATTATGCTCATCCTGAAAGATAAACTTTTTCAAAAAGATAAGAAACCCCCACCTGTAAGAGAAGGGTAGCTTGCGGACAGGGGTATAAATAATAAGTGAGACATTGCTGATCAATATGGCCACAGTCGGTCGTCCTTTTTCTCCCTTGACGACATCTTATCTCTAGACAGCGAGTTTTGTCACATAAATTACATAACAGTAGAAATCTTGACAGTGTCTTACTTGGAGCCAAGTTGTGTGACACACCCAAAGATTTCAGAGAACAAGAAATCAATATTTATTTACCTAATTGCATTGTTTTTATCACTGTAGCATTTTTCTTTTTATTTATTAATTTTTAATTTTATGAGGTCTATTTTCTTTCTTTAAAATGGAATTGGGAGGTGTGTGTTTTGGTTAATTTTTACTTACATGATTAGTAAATTGACTTGTAAACCAAGTAATACAGTGCTATATATTTTCATTATATTAAGTTGCAGCTCTTGCTAAGTTATTTTTACATATTGAATTCATATTTTGTGTGAAATCGTACCAAGTTTTCATGTTCATCAATCTCAAAAGGGAAGACTTGTAGAATCAAGTTCTGGAACATTTCAGTTTATCATGTTTAAACTCAGATCATTGGTCCTGCTAATAAAATGCAAGTTTTAGTTGCTTTGCAACAGAAATGTCTAAGTTTACTCATTTTATTTTATTTATTTAATCATGCGATATTTCACACACCGACAGTTCAATATTAAGCATTTCGATTAATAAAATGCCGGGATTTCCCAGAAAAATTATGCAGAAACCCTTTTTTTCTGGTAGAAAATGTTTGATAGCATTATACGTTTAAAACACTTATGATTGAAAGAAACCAATAGAATCTGCTATCCGTTGCTGTGCAGTTGTATAAGGCAGGAATAATGTCTGGGTTTAAGCAAACAACAAGTCCTGTTTTACTAAACAATTTATCAAACAATGTGACATGTATAATCCTCGCGTATCCCAAATGACTCATTTTATATTAGGCAGCCATATCGAAAGGAAGTTGGGACACCAGGCAGGGGACAGTACTTTTTAAAAAATTTTCAATCAGTAAAGCTCTAATTAAAAAGCTTATCACGTGTGTAGGATCGATGTGTCTGGGCATAGTATAAACTTTAGTAATTCGCATGTTCATAAGTATATCTATAGATTACATTCATAATTATACTCTTTTCTTTCATTTAGCAATGAAAACTTTGGAAATGTTGAACTTTCATCTTACAATTTTATTAGGTCAAGGACATATATTTTATTTGCAATTCATTCAATAAATTTTTTCTCTGTTACTCACAGTTATTTTTTGTTTAATTTCAACTAAATTATTCAAAAATAAATGTTTCAAATGATCAACTCCCAAGTAAAATAATCTAATCATTTTAAGCATTCATTTTGTAAAAAAAAAATACCTCAAAGAAATTTTTTTTATTTATGTAAAGGGTTAATTTATATGATCTGAAAATTCATCAATAGATGCTTATTGTGGCTGGTTGAATATAAACACATTTGCCTTTGGTCGTTCCTTCCATTATTTGCCCTGTAGTCATTTTTAGATCCCAAATTTGGAGCCCCAAGCCTTAAAGCAAATATTTGCAAGATTCAGCGAGACTTTCAGATAGAAATCCTGAAATCTAATATTTGAATTGCAGAGCCTCTCAGACAAGAATTATTTTGAATGCATGATTATAATACCTCCCCATACATAAAATGTGAGCTAAATCGTAGGCAATCATCACATGTTATAATGGACCTGTGATACACCCACTAATAAAACACTCGGTTGGTATTGTTTTATTTCTTAAAATAGACAGCTGATAAAGCTATTATATTGTTTGTTGTATGGTTTGTTGAAGTTTATTTTGCTTTATAGACATTTTGCTGTAATCATGCACCCACTCAAGGTGGGTATTGGTCGAGGTGTGAAACTTGTTACCAGCATCTCATATAATGGCCCATTATTTGCACATTTCCATGGCATGGAGTACATATATATGTATTTTACAAATCTAATTTATAGCATTAACCTGCATTGTAAGAGTTAGGAAAGTAAGAGGGAAAGGGGGGGGGGGGTATGTGCTTTTTCTGGCAGGACCTAAAATTGCAGAAAATAAGGCATCATGATGTTGTTTTATGGTTTTTATCCACATTTGGAAATGTATGAAGTCGAATTTAAAAGACACAAATTTTGAAGGCATGACAGTCCCTTGTACCGAGGCTTCTGAGTGATTAGGGATCAATTACTAACTTGACCAGGTGTAAAATGCACAGGTAGGATCTGTAGAAAAGTGTGTGTGGGTGTGTTGCATACAGTGGCTCATTAAGTCAAATAAGGTAAAAATTAAGGAAATGAAAGAAGTAGCTTTGGAAAAGGAAATGAGAAGTATGTTGATTGCTGGAGCTGTTAATTTTTAGTTTTGCACAGTTCCTGGCTATAACAAAGATGAAAATGGAATTTAGTATTGAAATACAAGCTTTGAAGGGAGCAATGAGCAATGGTTAGTTGACATTGCACAGATTTTGTTGACACTGTGGGAAGAAAAAAAGGAAACTCAAGAGTCTTTTAATATTATAGCTAATGATTTACATGGTTCCTCTTGCAGGTTTTGATCAGGGACAGTTTAGCAGCGATGGCTTAGACTTTGGAGACAGTATCTCCATGCAGCATGAGATTAACCGTTTGATGTCTGAAGTAAAACGACTGAAGGCGGAAAATAAACACTGGAGGTCAACCAATGGGGTGGTAAGTCAACACTTGTCAATATCTTTCATCTTACGAATTTCTGTTGACTTGGTCTTGACCTCTCAGTTTGCTGGTGCCCTTCAAAGTGAAAGTAAGTAATGTATTCTGAACCTGGTGGCTTCTTACTGTGTCTGTGCATATACTTTTTCTTTCTTCGTCCATTTGAGGATGTAATTACCATTTGCTTTATGCTGAAGGATAGTGTTACCTTGAACTAACATTTACATTGATGGAATTCACTGTGCATTATTTTAATGGGTAAAATATTCATGTAGAATGATTTAAGATTTCAGCATTTTGATATTATACGTATGCAAGGAAGTTTTTGCACAGGGTCATACAGATTTAACAATTAAGAGTCGTGAAAAGGGAAACAGGAAATAACCCTCAATGTGAGAGACCTACTGTTTTCTGTCCTTATAATGTTTGATATCTGATGTACGACTGTAAGTGCTATATTTAACATATTTAAAGGACTTATAATAGATGTTAGGATCTAATAAGAGAGAAATATTTAATTTCTCAATATATTAAATTTACCGCTGAAGGTGCAAGTATCAATTTTAAATCATTTTTATCATTGCACGAGCTATGCATTCCTTCATTAGTGTTTTTTTTTCAATTCAATTTTTAAAAATGGAAAGCTCGTTTAATCAGAGGGCATTGTAAACGAAGATTTGTAGCGGTCTTGCCTTGAAAGGGTTTTTATCTTTGCTATGTGTCACCAATGTTGGTATCTAAGGAGTCCACAACTGATAAGCCGACCACTAAAGTAACTGTTGCCGTATGTTTATCAATAAGAGTTTCCTGTAGCTAAGGACCTGAGGAATCTTCACCCAAAGCAAATCCCAAGTTTGCAAGCAAGTCTTATCGTGGGCCCTCCAAGTCCTATCTGTTGGCCCCTTGCAGTTTGGCAGACTGCAAGCTCCAAGAAAGACTGGTACAACCAGGCACAAGATAATGCAAGGGTCAGAGGTCACAGTTTGGCTACTTCCTGTGACAGTGTCCTCGGAGTCTTCCAGAAGCTAAGGATCACATTTTCTGTGCTTTTTCATTCTGTGGCTTTCCTTCAGTGTTTTTTTCTGGTTCCTTGGCAGATAAACTGGGAGTAGAATTAACAGGTCCTAGCTGCTTTACCTATTGGCAGGTTTGTCCACATTTATATAGTATGCGTCAAATAATTTCCCGGAAAATAAAATAAAACCTTGTCCGTTTTATCTCTATGTCTGTATTTGAATAAATGAAATGAATGTAATTTCTATTCATAGTTGCCATGCTCAATTAATTCACAAAGCTTTAACGTTATTACCTGGTCGAGGTAAACTTCCTTATCGGTGATCTGCGGTGTCTTGCATTTGTCTGTAGTTTGGTCAAAAATGAAAGTTGTTCTGCAGTTGGGTTAGACATGACAGAAGCACATGTAGCAAGCAGAGGTCACCTGAGGTTAGCCATGTATGTGATTAACTCTTCCTTAAGTTTTAGACATTAATTGGATTGTTAATGAACGAATGTGACATGAAGTGGATTTTAAAAGAATGTATTTTTTTTGTGCGGTTTTTGTGAAGTTGAAATTTTGGGTGTAGATTTTTGGACAGCCAGGTAAGAGCGTTAATGTTAGTTCTGGTATGTATTGATTTATCGGGACTAGTTTTTAACTTTTTCTGTGGCTTAGCACCTTATAGTTGGTCTGATAAGGGTCAGAATACCATTGAGGCATGTATGTCACCGGGCTGAGATAAAACCAAGCCATAGAAATTTTGTAGCATTCCGTACAAACGGTATAATACCTCATACCTTACAAAACTTGTAATTGAATTTTAAATTGCGTAGGTTCTTTTTTTCTTCAAACTATGAATCGCATGAATGAACTTTGTAAAGTAAAAAAAGGTACAAGACATGTAAATGTATACTTAAGAGGAAAAACATGTCTTAATGTTCTATATGTTCATCTGCTTAGATGATAGTTCTCGAAATTATCAGTCCTAGTGGCAGGAGGGGACGAACTTATCAGTGATAACCCCCTCTAGAGGTTAGCGTGGGTAAATTGTGTAATTATTTAGGCGGGCTTTTTTCATTTTTGGATTGCTAGGTAAATGTTTTGTGTGATGCACAGAATTGAGTGAGATAAGAGTTTTACCTGTATTGGGTGAGTCATTTAGATAATGCTTGTCAGCAAGTTCTTTATAGCTTGTCACTACATTTTTATATCCCCAATGATTAATATTTTATATGATTCAATTTTCTATCTTGGACTTACAAATAACATCTGCTACATTACACTTTCAAAGAATTTTAAAAGAAGATTGTTTGATTGCAGACATGTCTTACTGAATTACCTTTATTATTGTTTTTCTACCCCCTCCAAGTTTTCTTTCTGTATAGTTTATAAGAAGAAATGCATGCCCTTCAATTTATTCCTTGTTTGTACAACTCTGTCCTGTCATCAGAAAAAAATCTTTCCTATTTTCTACACCTTCGCATTGTCTGCATGCCTCTTCCCTATTAACTGTGCAGTCGAGCATGCTCAATTGCCACCAGTTATTTGGACAAAAAAATTGAAAAAAGCATGCGGTTTGATTGTCGTGAGAGGTCGCCATGCTCTCGCCTAGCAAGGAAAAGCAGTAGAGCTGTTAATAGCCTTGTAATTTTTCCGTGTCATTTGGGTAAAGGTCGGTAGATTACGTTTTTTATTGACCATAAAAAGAGAAAATCCTAAAAAGGATGGAAAAGTACACGTAGTTTAGCTCTTTAGAAGAGCTTCACAATTGATCTATGTACTGAAGTTTCCTGTACTTTATAATGCACAGATAAATGCTATGTTTAATTAATTGATGAAATGATATTGTTTGTGTAAGATATAGGATGGGCTCTCAAAAAATCTATGAAATATTTAATATGTAAATTCGGTATTATTACTGACTGCCAGAGAATATTTACTGATAGCACCTGGCCATTATTACCATATTGATGTAAATCTGAAAAAAAGACAGTTATTTTGTACTGTGAAAATTTGAACATTTTTCTGTGATAAAAAGTTTATGCATCATAGACTTAGGAACAGTTGGACTGAGTACTGAGGTGAGAGGGGAAAGGGATGCTCTGGGTACTGATGGGATAGGTTAAAAAATCATTGTAAAAAGGTGGATTAAAGTGTTATTTGAAAATAACCTCCAAAGAAAGCACCTGTCACGTCTTCCTGTTTTATCTAGGATGTTCTGTACATTATTGGATTTTATCAGGTCTAAGTCATACGTTAACATCACATCGTGATATATTCACGGCAGTATCAAGACTTGCTTACAGACAAAACTATGCATTTTTAACAATACTTTGTCAACTTCCTTAGTTTTGATATTAATAGATTCATTTATTTCGGACCATAAAGATTCTTTATGACTATCATAAATGGACAGGTTTATGAATCATTGTGCAGTGAGAGTTGAGTCAGTGGTTATTTGTATTCAATTCTTTGCTATGAACTCTTTCTGTGTAAATGCATAAAGGATTAACATAATCGTGCCAGCTGTCCACTGACAGTAGTTTTTCTCCGAATTTCTTTACGACTACTGTGTTTGAATATCTTTATTTTTAACAGTTATACTTTCGAATTGCATGCATTAATGAGACCTGGTGGGGGGCATGGAGGGAGAATTTCAAATTTGTATTTGATCCATTGTAAATCTGGCTGGCCGGATTTCAAGGAACACTTTCCTCCACAAAGAACTAATTGATCATCATCATTGTGTACAGTCTGTTAATCAAATCCGTTTACCTTCAGCAACAGCTGTCAAAGGTTTGGCTGTCAAAAAGTTGATTTAGGGCTAAGGAAGAAATTTGATCTGTTTAAATCACTGTCCCATTGGTCTTACATATAAAATATATATATGGTGTAATTTTATTGGAAGAAGATATGGTTGAAGAATGGTGTAAACGGAAAGAATTCACCACGAATGACACCAACGCCACAAGCATTGGCAATAAACCGCATGACCCCCTGTAACACATTAAATGACCATAATCCAACAGTCTACCTGCATTCCTTCAATGCCACTTTAAACATGACAGAATGGGATAATATCAATCTGTTTGTTTTAACAATTTTCAAATTTGTCCACAACTTGGCTGTTGTAAAACATTGACAAAATCCACTTTTGAATAGAGGCATTTTAAAAGTGCTGGAGTGCAAACACTGGCGGGTCTGGGAGAGTAAATTGATTTGGATGGCGAAGTTTTTTGTTTCTCTCTGTTTAAAAGCTGGGCCTAACAGGCTTGTGTACACGTCTTGCGCGTTGGGAATATTCATACGATTTTCTTAAGCAAACATTGTTCTAAGCCTTTTCATCGGTCTGCAGTAAGAGATGGCTGACATTTAAGACCTTATTTCACCTCTGTTGACACAGACACTATAGAATTGTGGTTGACAGTGTCTAAAAGTAAGATTTTTGGGGGGCTAGAAAAAATCATCCATTTGCCTTTCCTTGTCATTTATATTAGAATGTGAGGATTATGTTTTGTTTGTTGAATGAATAGCCTGGTATTTTTGAAAAACCCCGAGTAGGAAGTTTAATTTCTGAATACATGTATTTAAATTGTATTTAAATTGTAGGCAAAGGAGGGAAAAACGCCGGAAGTTGAAAATCACCATGTGGCTCTGCAAGATACCATACAGGTGAGACTACTGATTAATTTTTTTTTTACCTGTGCAGATTGCGAAATCTTGTGCTGCCTTATCTAAATCTAACAATGTTGTTAATGAAAGAGCCCGCCACAGGTAGGCCTTGATTGAGAATGAAAAGTCTATTGAATAAAGATGTGTAAACATCTCTCTCTTTTTTAAATTCATTGGGTTTCCAAAATTTTAACATGATACCTTAAAATTTGTAGTCCTTACTGAATGGCATATCTTCTTTGAATACAAATGTAAAATTTGAGTGTGGACGTACCATTAGAATTTCCATATTTAATATTATGAGATATCATGTCTTTAAATAGCATTATGGCTTACTATGTCCTAAAGCTATTAGATTCTTTTCTGAATTATGTCACTGAAGTGCATTTGTTTTATTTACTAGGAGCTTAAGGAACAATTGCGTCATGAAAAAGAGCACCACCAACAGGAAACGGTGTTGCTCCAGGACATGCACTCCCAAAAAATCACCGCCCTGCACAAGAAATTCAAGGCGGAAATTTCACAATACAAAGAGAAAGTTCAAGAGTTGGAACAGAGGGGAGGTAGCTGTCATCACTGTCCTATATATTGACCTCTTATTGATGTTTCCCATCATTTGGAGGGATTTAAATCATATCGTTTTGCTCAAGTTCATTACATTGAGTAGTTTTTGCGATCTAATGCCTTTTATTGAATAAAGAGCAACATAATAGAGTCTGTGAAATGTATGCCAATGGTTATTGGTTTTTGATGAAATTTGTGTCAACTCTTCCATTTTTACAGGGCATGATGGTAATATTGCAGAATTGGAAGCCAAGTTAGAAGAGCTTCAGAGGGACTATGATGCATTAATATCTGAAAAATCCAAGACAGACTCAGTAATACAGACTTATAAACAGCAACTACAAGGTACATCATTCCCTATTTACAGTTATAAAAATTGGTTAATATCTCTTAAATATTCCATGAATATTTAGGGTAAATAACTTGTACTTGCATGAATTATTCATCAGAAAATCACAATAATTTTACATTTTTTAAAAATAAAATATGAAAGTTTAAACAAGTTCCTTAAATACAATCCTAACTTGTGATCATGTTGTATGTTATATGTTTTGTTGATTTTATTTTTCAGAGAAAGAAAAAGAGCTGTCACTGCTGAAACTAGAGAATGAAAAGGTGTCTACTCAGCTTCACAATGCCAAGTACCAACTGCTGGATCAACTGGATGCAAATCATGTATAGTGTTTATCTCTCTCCAGTCAGTTATGGCTGGCTGCCTTTTTTCTGCAAGGCAAAACATGTAAAGGAATGTGCTTGAGAATGCATGTTGCTACAGTGATATTTTCTTCATTCTTTGTCCTGCATCCAGTTTGTCTGTGGTTGAGTCCTGGCATGTTTCCTTAATAAAAAGAAAACATACATGTTTTTATATCTGCACATGACAGAGGTTGTATTTTTTTTAATGTAGTGTATGCACTTGTATTTATTGTGAAGATTTAGTATGGTAGTTACAGTTTCTTTTTTTTTGGGGGGGGGGGGGTAGGGGGGTGGGGTAATGAATCACTCTGATGTTCTACCCAGCATTGTGAATATAGCCAGCTTTTGGGAAGTACATGTATAACAGCTTGTAGCAATGAACCCCTTCTAACGTCTGCAGCATGATACTTTTTTCTGTTGAATTGTAGTTTGTCTGGATTTTCTCTGCATTTTTGCTTGAAATTTTTCAAATTTCTCATTTTTGAGCAAAAACTTTGTGATAAAATTAAATTTTTTTAAACAATTTGCATTTTTCTAAAATGCTGTTATCATGCTGCAGGCTCAGTCAATTGACCTTATGTGTGACCTCCAGGAGATGAGGAGGAATATTTCCCAGAATGCAATTGCCCGCAAGAATGCCCTCCTCAAAGAGAGGCAGGAGCTGGTTGATCTTATGATCGAATCTGGTCTCCAGGTTGGGACAATCTGTTACTCTTTTACTCATGTTCTTTTCTAATTAGGTCATAGAATTACATGTACCTGGTAGATCAAAAATAAGAACTGGCTTTTATTGATAAAAATCTATCCAAGACTTGAGTCTCATAAGAAATTTGATTTGTGGACGAAGTAGAAGTATAATGGAAGTTTTCTTTGATTTATAGCAAAAGGAAATCAACACCTCTGTGGAGATTTTGGAGGCAGAGCGGGAGCAGGTGGCTTTGGAGAGCGAGCACATGTTGTCTGAGATGGGGAACACTGACCATCAGGCTCTTACCAAAGGTCAGTAGCTAAAGAAGGGTCAAGAAGTGATTGGCTGTAATTTTACAATGTAAAACATTTCACAGCACATGAAGATACATAAAGATGTTTTACCTCCAAAAGTTTTAATTGAGGAGATTTATCATTCTGGGTTACCAATAAATCTGTTATCTACGAAATATCTCCTTTCATGACTTAGTTATTATACAGTACTTAATGAAAGTGTGATATTTGAACTTGTGTTCATAATTGAAGTAATTGTAAAAACAGTATTTGGTTTTTAAATGTGATTAACCAATCTCTTTTTTTTTTCCCTACAGACATTGTGGATTCTATTGAGAAGGAAAATTTAGTCTTGAAGAAAAAGAACCTAGAGTTACAGGAACAGATTGCAGTGTTAGAGAAGACAGTAAAAACATTATCAGAGCAAAGGGGCAGAAAAGATGAGGAAGAAAAAGGTATGTCAGTGGAGTTATTTCCAAAGGAAATAAAAATTTAAAGAACTTCTTAAAAAAAAATCTGCAAAAATTTTCTATTAAAATTACTATTTCCATTCTTTGTAGTGGATGAGGATGAAGAATATGATTGGAACACTGCCGAGATTTCAGAACTGAGCAACAGAAACAGTGAACTCGAGAGACAATTGCTAGAGCTGTCATCCAATCATGAGAGAGAATTAGAGGAATTTGAAAGCTTGAAAACCGATTGGGTGTCTGAAAAAGAGGCTCTGGAAGATTCTTTACTGGAACTTCGACAAAAGTTGAAGGAAAAAGGAACAGCAGAAAATGTTCATGATGCTGAAAAGGTAATTTTAAAGACTGTATTGATAATGAATCCAATTAAACTCTGTATACTAAATAGAAAGCTTCCTAAAGTACTTGTAGCATGTGAAAATATATATTCACAAATAGCATGTAGTGTATTTTCCTACTGATCTTCCTGCATTTTATCAGAAAAAATTGCAGTTTGTTAATCCAATATTAACCAAAGTGTGTGTTTTCCTGTTTATTTGCACTCTTTTGGGTAGTTAGTGACACTGGTCATTTTGTTTGTAACTACAGGGCATGATGGTAGTGGCCAAGGAGAGGGCTAATGACCTCAGTGACTCTGAAGAGTCTGCTGAAAGTAGTAATGGGGATATAGGGGAAGATATTGTGAAATTAGATCATAAAGTGGATCTGTTGGCTCAGGCTAATGCCCAGTTGGAGGAGGAAAGAGACGGGCTAATTATAGAGAAGGCATGTGTCAGTGTTAGCCTGAATATTGTATAACTAGCATGTCTGTCCATTGTCTTTTTATTTTACATAATTAACATTAACATGTGTTCCTTGTTTGTATTTTTATCTCAATAGAAACTCTCTTCATAGTTTTACATCAACAAATGTGCATTGCATTTGAATTATTACCTATAAAATTGTGTATTTCAATTGCAGTTGAATGTATGTTCTAGTAAATATTATTTCTTTTTCTTTGCAGGAGAAGCTTGAAAAGGAATTGTCAGCTCTCAAATCAGACCTAGGTAATTTAATAGAAAACATGGATATATAACACAAACTAAATAATGATTTATGAATAATTTTTTTAAACAGTGAAATGCATCATAGTGCTTCATTTTTTTTTTCATTTGTTACAAAATTTATTTTGTCACTGCATAATAGATACCATGCCTTTCTTTAAAAATGAATGAAAATTGAAGAAAAGAAAGTGCCCACAATATAATTGAATTACATGTAAAGGTATTATTTTTATAGATAGTGGTGACAGAAATGGGGCTTTGTTGCGAGAACTGGAGGAGCAAAAATCTCTGGTTACCAACCTTCAGGAGGAGAAAGAGGGACTGGAGACCAGTTTAGAGGAACTAGACAGCCAACATGAAGAAGCCATGGCACAAGTCATCAAAATTCGCAATGAACTCCAGAAAAGACTAGCCGAGTCTGAGAAAGAATGTGATGAAAAAAGCTCACAGATTAAGGAACTTGAAAAAACTGTAAATCGTCTTCAGAAAGAGGCTCAGCAGCTTGATGACCTTGAGGAAGAAGTGTTTAACCTCCGGGAAAGCAAAGAACAGTTGGAGACACAGTTGAAGTCATTGTCTTCCAAGGGAAAAAGTGAACAAAGCAGTAAAGGCTGCGAAAAGTGTACAGAATTAAGACAGCAACAAGAAAAAGCAGCCATGACTGTAAATGAACTTCACATGGATGTGAAAGAGTTGGAACAAAAACTCCAAAAGAATCAGGAGGAAGTCAAAGATAAAGTTTCCAAATTAAAACAAGCAAGAGAAAGCAACCAGGAGCTGCAGAAGGTGGTTCAGGATGTGACAGAGAAATATCAGGCAAAGGAAGAAGAGGCGCAGAAACTGAGAGAAGAGATGGGGAAGACATCAGGGGTAGAGACCGAGACACTCCAGCAGCAGATTGATGAGAAATCAGAGGAGATGAAGTCTGTTGTGGCAGAGCTGGAGGAGGTGAATTCTCATCTGGCAGAATACATGGAGAGGTATACCAAGTTACAAATGGAGAATTCAGAACTCGTCTGCAAACTCTCTGAACGAGACAACCAGGTGAGGGAGAATCGTGAAGCCCTGAATCAGCTGAAAGAAGAGAACCACGAACTGTCTGAAAAACTTCAAGAAAGCAGTACAAAGATTGAAGAACTACAAGAAAGTATCAACAAATTAGAGAAGAATAGTTCCCATTTGTCAACTAAATTGATTGAAAGTGAAAAGAAAGTTCAGAACTTAGAGGATGACATCAGCCAAAAGGCGAGTGAGACGCAGAGGCTAAATACTCAGATTGAGGCTCTGAGGGAAGAAAAGAATAATATACAAAGAGAGTTTGATCAGCTTGAAGGAGTGTTACAGCAGAAGATGAAACATTATGAGAATTACATACAAGAGTTGAAAAAAGGACAGGAAAGTGATTCTAGTTCTGTGGAATCGGAAAGGAAACGTCTACTGGAAGATGTTCATGAAAAAGACATGAACATGTTAAAACTTGAAGAGAAAATAAAATCTCTCCAGAGCCACCTGTCTGAAACCAAGGAGACATTGCAGTCAGCAATAGATGGTCAACAAGGGGTGGCAGATATCTTGGAAGAAAATGAAAGGACAATAAAAGAATTAAAAGAAGAAAATTCTCAATTGTCCCAAGAAAATGACAGTCTCCAAATGGCCGTGAAAGAGCAGAAGGAACAACTTTTAAGGATGGCAACTGTGGAAGAAGAGTTAGTGGCCCTTAAAGAGGAGAGAAATACTCTAAGAGAGGAACTGAGGATGTCAAAGCAAACATTAGAAAATAAGGTGGAAAAAGAGGCTTTGCAGGCTCAGACTTTAGAAGTTATCACTGATTTAGAGTCAGAGCTAAACATGTCAACAGAGAAAATTGTAAGCCTTGAAAAAGAGATGAAACAACTGAAAGAGAAAGTCAGAGAACAAGAGAATGAAATTCAGGAATTGAATGAAAAGAATTCAGGGTATTTGAAAAGTATGGGAGAGAAATCAGATTCATCTAGTCAACTTCAATCTTTAGTAGAAGAAAGGGATAAAAGGATTTCTGTTTTAGAAGGAGAATTGAATGAGCTAAGAGAAACAATTAGTAAACAAGAAAAGGGAATCCAAGAATTAAATGAGAAGAACCTGTCACACTTGAAAGAAGCTGAGGAGAAGAACAAGAAACTACATCAGCTGGAGGCCACTTTGGTGGTGCTGGAAGAGTCAGTGGCAGAGAAAGAGGAAGCCATTTTGAGGTTCCAGAGGAGACTAATGAGGGCAGAGTCACTTGTGGAACCAGACAAAGAACATTTATTAACTGATGGACTGTCTTACTTAGCTATTGAAGAAAAGCCACGTGTGGAAAACCAGGAGGATGAGGTAAAGGATAAAGATCTCCAGGAGGAAACCTCACCATCAGAACCTCAGCCATCAGAGATGGAAGATTTTGCCAAAGAAAATGAACGTCTGCTTTCAGAAAATCAGGAGTTGAAGGAAAAGTTTGAAGAGGACTTGAATTCTTACAGTGAAAGACTGATTCAGCTGGAAGAGGAAAATGAGAAATTAAAGCAAGATTTGTCAGAGCAAAAAGATGAATATATTAAAATCTGTAAATTAAATGAGGAAGAAGTAGAACTTTGTAAAAGAACTCAGTCCACAGTGGAAGATCAGGCCATGGAGATTTCTTCCCTAAAGTACCAAATATCACAGTCTGGTTCTAGTGGTCAAAATGCACATCTTGATGGTGAGAACACTAAAGATTTGATAAATGGATCAGAGAAAATGCAAGAAGACATCATAGAACCCGAAATATCATTATCCTTGTCAAGTGGAAAATCATCCAACATTGTTGTAGAAGGTGAAGAACTAGAAAAGCTCAAGTCTTTATTGGAAGAAAAAGACAGAGTTATTTCTGAATTACAGACTAATAATTCTTCCTTGTTAAAAATGTTAGAGACTAAATCTGTTAATTCGTTAGGGGATAAAACATTGGTTGATGTTCATAGACTTGAAAATGAGGTGAAGCAACTCAAGCTTGAAAAGGAGCAGATTTTAGCGGTAATGAATGAAAAATCTCGAGAGACTAGTAACCTCAAAAGTGAAGTACATCGTCTTACGAATATTGTGTCTGCAGAGAAAGTGGCCTTAGCTAAACTTCAGAAGGACAATCATGACCTGACTCAGAGCAAAGAGAAAAGTGTTGTTGAGGACATGCAAAAAGAAGCCCTCCAAAATCTGTCTCGAATCATCCGTGACAAGGACATGGAGATAGAAGCACTGACCCGTAAAAACGAAACTCTGGTCGCAGTCATGCAAGAGTCGTCTGACAGTGGTTCACAGATCAACTCGCTGATGCAGGACAAGACAAACCTGAGCAAGCAGTTGGCGGACTTGAAGAGTGAACGTGAACAGATGATAACATACCTAAACCAGAAACACCAGGAGAGTCTGGCTTATCATGCCGAGATCCAAAGGCTTACTGAGTACATCAACACAGAGGCAGAGAAAAACCAGACGATACAACAGAACTATGCAGCTCTGGTGCCTCAATATGAGGAAAAGAATGAAAACCTGTTGAAAGCTCAAAATGAGTTGATAAACTATAAACATAAATTCCAAGATCTTGAGATAAAGTATGGTGAACTGGATCAAAGAATGAATGCATCAGAAACTGTGGATATTCTAACACACAATTTGAAACTGGAAGAAATTAAAAGTCTCCAAGAAAAGCAGGAAGAACTTTTGGATAGTATCAAAGAAAAAGAGATGAAACTGCAAGCCCTTCATCAACAGAACTCAGAATATGAAGAATCTCTGTCCAGACAAGCTGGTGAGATCTCAAGCTTAAAGAAACAGCTTGATAACATGGCCTTCAAGCTCCAGGGTCTGCAGAGCGAGCTGACTGATGAAGGAAGTGAGAAAACTGGTCTGGAGCAGCAGGTTGTGGAACAGATGTCTAATATCCAGGTCCTGAAGGAATCCAACAACCGGTTAACACTGGCTCTACAGGAGAAGGAGTTTGAAGTGAACAGTTTACATGAGAAGGTCCAGACACTTCAGGCAGTGATACAGAATAAGGAGGGAGAGAAAGGCCAGGTGAACAAGCTGATGCAGGAGAACGAAGCCATCCTAGCTCAGGCCAAGCAGCTCCAACAGGAGAGGGACCAGGCCATGATGGCTCTAAAGCAGAGGCAGTCCGAGCAGGCAGGCTTATTACAAGAGGTAAGCAACTGGATTTTTTTTATGGATGTAAATTTTGCATACTTCGGTGTGATTTTGTTATTGAAAAACTACTTTATAGATGAATAGTTAAGGTCCCAATATAAATATTTTTAGATCCAGAAACTGAAAGAAAAGGACAGCAAAAGTCAGAAAGAGTTGGAGCGACTAAGAGGTCACTTGATACAGGTAGGTATTTTATACTTTTTGATCCCTTTTTTAAAAGCTACATTGAATATCTTTGTCCAACACAATCCTTTAAAGTATATCTTTGTCAAAAACAATCCATTCAAGTATAAATTTTAATAAAGTTGTTATGTCTTTATAAAAAAGATGGAAGATGGCTACACTCAGGAAGCCCTGGCAGCAGAGGAACGTGAAAAGGATCTGCGGAACCGCTTGGCTGTTGCTGAGGAGAAGGTCATTTCATCATCTTCAATAATGGAGTCTGCAAGGTTAGAGCAATGTTGATTTTAAAAGAAAATCGTCTATCCAGATAAAACTCATCTAAATATTCTCAACTTCTCCAAATTTGAGTGAAGAATGATCTATGAATTTTTTCATTGTTCAGTCAGCAGGCGAGTCAGCAGACAGAGTCCTTACAGCAGCAACTCCACCTGTTGGCAGGTCAGAGGGACCAAGCTTACCTCCAGGTGGCAGCGCTGCAGGAACAATGTCAGCAGTATGCTGTGTCTCTGAACAATCTCCAACTGGTTCTAGAACAGTTCCAACAAGGTAAGGTCACCAATGATCATTTTTGAAAGATCAATGATTTTACTTGTCATTCGTCACGTTTTCTATTGATGTTTGTGTTGATTTACAAATGCTTAAAAAACTTGCAGAGAAAGATGCCCAGCTTTCACTTGAAATGGAACAGAACCAGAATGAGATAGCTAAACTCAGAAAACAGGTCAACTCACTGCAGACTGAGTTGAATACCACTAAGGTACACATATATTTAGATGCAGTTTTCTAACTCTCTCAGTTTAGACAAGAAGTGGAATAACTGGAAACCTTTCATTTGCTTGTAGGAGAAGTTAATGGATGCTGAGGAGGGCTTAGAAGCTGCTTCACGCTTGACTGAACAGCTGGATCGAAAGGAGGAAGCCTTGCTGGCACTGAAGGAAGAAGGTATTTCCATGCTTCATTGACCTTGCAGTAGCTCACTAACTCTCCGTCAATGTTGTGTGTTGTTTTTGTTGCCTGCAATATTTCCTGGCACTAATAAACCACACAAATGCACAATTAAAAAAATGTAATTAATAAATAGAGATTAATTAAAATGATTGAATGTGGTAGATGAATTCAAATTAATAAAAATACATTCTATCTTTCTAAAGCTTTTCACCTGCAAACTGCCCAGTTCAACCAGTTTTTGTTGAAACAATTTGCTTATAAATTCTTTTTGTGGCTTACATAGTATTTGGGATGGACTTTTTTTGCTATTAGCCTATCTGCTTGAAAAGATCTGTTTGAGAATAATTTTTGCCTAGCTTTTTTGGTTGTTAACTTGATTTTATTTTCCCCTGTGGCGTTTTTTTGACTGCCAGGGTGAAGAGGCGACTGGTTGTCTAATATCAGCTGGTAATCCTGAGCTGCCTCAACACTCAGGGTGCTCACTGATATACGATAAACAGACCACCACTTTGAACACATCGGGCAGAATTTGCAGTGAAAACTTTATCTACCATTCTCTTTTGATAAACTTCGTAGCAAACTGTTTTTAACATTACCTATCGCATTCTGATTAATTTCTTACTAACAAATTTATGCTCACAATTTATATATATCCTAGCATATCATTACCCATAGTTCTGAGTATTTTGTACACATATTTCTTGATTTTTCCACTGATCATTTCAGCATGACGAAATAAAAATTATCTCCAGAATATTTCAGGCAAGATGCGGAATTTTTATTTTATATATGCATTTATTTATTTTTGTTAATTTGAATGACAAACTTTTGTGTTTGAAAGCTCAAAAAAGGTGAATTTACGGGAAGTTTTTTGTTCTTGCCTGATCCTGATGATGTTTGTCTAATCTCAGCTGGTAATTCTGAGTTGAGCAAGATCTCAAGTTACTAGCCGAGATTACACAAGTGTCTCCATTGCCTCAACACTAACCTTCCTTCTCCCAGCATGGATTACTTGTGCATGCAACCAAGGATAAAAAAAAAATAACACAACAGACAAAAAATAACTATCCATTTCATGCCCCAAATAGTAAGCATGGATAGTGAAAAAAATGGATGAACTTTTTAATGGCACCTTTCTAGAAAAAGTAATCTGCTACTTAATACTACTGTAAATTAATGGAAAATAATTCATGCATGTCTTAGAGCCAAAATTAAGTGACAAAAACATAGCCTGCATGACTGTCTACTTTTATTGCACACTATAAGTTAATCAGAATTTTTATCTGTAATGGAATGTTTACTAATAAAAGAGGCTTGAAATGTTGGGATAGCAAGATACTTTTAACTTGGTATTGTATTACAGTATATTTAACAACTTGTGATAAAATTCAGCAATTTTGTATGGGAATTTAAGGAAAAATAAATCTATAGGGTAATTCATATGCCATTTTCTTGCAAGCTAAGGTAACTTAGACATTTGATAACATATGGAGATTTCGGTGCTGCATACTTTGCTTAAATAAATTTCCCTTCCTTGGATTTCATTATTTTCTAATGGATCCTGAACATTGATTGGAGAGACAAGATGAGGAGATGTTTGGTTTAGAAATCGGCCACTGAGACTGAGTATTACATCAGGTACTGAGGGAAAAAAGTAGTTCAGTACCTTCTGTGATATTCCTACGCAGTGAGTCGCCTGCTGCTCCCTTGCAGAGGTGTATCCTTTGTAAGAAATGTAGAGTAGAAGTAAATTCTGTCAAATTAGAACTATTAAAGAATTGTAGAGATAGAATCTTAACAAGATATGCAATGTAATGATTGAAAATCGGTAATGTTATCTTTGATTGATGCAATGAGTTGTAGTGTGAGAATCAAAGGAGAATGATCTTTTCATTGTAGTTCAGATACGAGAGAAATCACTGCAGGCGGCTGAAGACGAAATTCATCGCCTGAGATTATCTACTGATAATAAAGTTGACAAGTAGGTTTCAGGTTTATAAATCAAACTTGACAGAAAGCTGAAAGAACATCCGTACCCAACTCAAATTTTGTTAATTTAGAACAAATTTGTAGTTGATTCTTTCATTTTAAATATAATTTCTGTCTTCTTTCAGAGTTGTCATTAAAAATATCTTGATGGGGTACTTCCTGTCTCCTAAGAATAAACAGCCTGAGGTGTTGAGGGCTGTGGGAGGAATATTAAATTTCACAGACGAGGACTTTGATAAGGTAAAACTGGTTTTGCAGAGCTGTTCAACTAAACCTCTGTTAAATCTCTATTTTATCCTGACAGATTTTGCCTTTCATTCAATAGGGTTATAACAAAGTTGTTTCTGTATTCAGATTACAGGGGCTTCCAAGAGCTGGGTTTCAGGGTTATGGAGATTTGGGGGATCTCCAACTCACGCCACTCCATCCACCCCCACTAAAACTGTCCCAGGACAACTGCCATCCACCCCAAAGGCGGAAAGTGTGAGTAGGAAGCTCTAATTTACAAGTTCAAAAAACAGATGGTTGAAAGAGAGAGAAATATTTTAACAGGCAATTTGTTGAATTATAATTTATATTCATATTTTAATGAAATGAATAATGGACTCTTTTCTGTTATTTTCAGTCATTTTCGGAGTTATTTGTAAAATTTCTGGAAACGGAATCGACACCCACACCTCCGGTCATGAAACTGCCTGCCGAGGATATGGCCAGGGATGTCCAACGTCAGAAACAGGCCCACAAAGACAGCTATAACCCCTTCACTGCTCCCAGACACGTGTCCATGCCTCCTGCTAGCGGTGTCAGTGATCACAGGAATTCCCCTATCCTCATGTCAGGGTCGCCCACCTCGACCCCTATGACCTTGTTTGCCCCCTCAGTGACCCCTCAGCCTCGTTCTGATAATGAGCGGACTACCTCCCAGAACACTTCTAGTGCAATTCTCAAAAACGTTTTAGAGACCAGATAACACATGTTAATTCTGTATGTGATTTTGTTTAAACATATGATATTTAATTATTAAATTATGCATTGGATCCAGACCTAAGACTATTATATAATTATTGTCATATGGTGGCATTGTAATAGTTTTAAAGGGTGTTAAACTTTTTATTTCTCTGTAACTTATCATATGAGAAAGTTCAGTGTACAATTGTGATATTATTGATTTAAAGCTTTATTTTTATAAATTAATAATTTATGAGATTGTACATATAATATGCCATATTGTGAAATAGTACCAGTATGTATTTTACATACTTACTGCATGTGATTTTTAATATGCAGGATGTGGGATATGATTTCAAAATATTCATAAAGATATTAAAAACAAAAAAATGTGTTTTGTTGATGTGCTAATGCATGATTCTTACAGATACTTTCATAGTTCTCTGTCTCAAGAGAATGTACACATTTATTTATGCTTCTTTAGCCAAGGGTAATGATCCAGCCGTCTTCTCTTTTTACAAAAAGAAGAGAGGAGCGGATTGTCACTCATGGATGAGAAGATGGTCTTTATCCAAGCTCTAGACAGCTCAGGATCACAGTAGGCTTCAACTCCATAATAACTTGTATAGAGAAAGTTGTCCTGGAGAAATGACACTGTGTGATGTTTGGGTATTTATGTAGCAAATCAAATGATTGAAACAGCTGATTCTACTTGCACTCAGCAACACCAAAGAAAACAAAAATTATTGGATTTATATGACCCACAGTAAGGCATGCTACAGAATAAGGAAATAGCTTCCATTGAATACATTGGATATGCCTGTAATCTCCTGTTTAGGCTTAATAAGGTAAAAAAAATTATTAGCTCCTTTCTTCAGTGAAAAATTTCCTTATAAGCTCAATTACCACACAATTAGCAAATGTGACTGGGTCGACACTTACATCAATACTGTAGCCTCTTAAGTTTTGATATCCATACCTAGAAAAATCCCTTGTAAGGTTTTGCCCTAATAAGGGTCCTTACTTCTCAGGTAATATACTAGTACCCTGACTCATAAAATGAACCAGATCCAAGAATTGCTGGTGCCATTTAACAACTTCCTTTGCTTTTGAGAAATAGATTGTCATGAAAAGAACAGAGACAAATTAAGTGTTTATTAGGCTTTAGTAGGAATAACATAATTTTGCACAAATTCCTAAAGTTTTATTATGTATGTGGATTTTCACTTAATTAGTATGTCATTGTTAAAGAGATAAAGGATCATTATAAATACTTTTGAGTTGATGAAAATGGATAAAATGAAATATAGTTGAGATTTTAATGAGTGGAGAGGAAAAAAATTCTATGAGACAAGTTATTGATATCACATCTTGTTACAAATGCACAAACTAGTTTTGTGCTCAACAATAAATGGTACAGAGAATGGCTTATAAAAATGCTGACAACAATGGGTAAGCAAAATTACATTTCAAACATTAATATAGGCATTATTAATGAATGCCTTTCTCAAAAGTAGGACAAGTGCATACTTGGTCTTGGGCACAAAATATGTGGCAATGCTTATTCTCGTTTTAGAATACAATGTACATGTATACTATCATGCAGATAAAAAACAGTACATGTACTAGTGAGTACATTTTATCTGCCTGCCTTCTTATGAACTTTTGCAAGAAGCTTGACTTTTACAGTCAACAGCTGATTTCAAAATATTAAACCAGATTTGGAGGCGAGGAATAATAAACAAGAGATGTTTGTATAACACTTATGCCCCCCTCCCACCAAATTTGAATTTTTCCAGTCCAAAAGGGCAAAACTGGCACAATAATACCCAAACAGAACTTGACCTAGACATTCATCTAATAAATCTGTACACTAAATTTCATTACAGTATGTGCAACAGTTGCCAAGAAAATGAACGGAAACTGCAAATAATTGGAATTTTTCTTAGTCTAAGGGGCATAACTTTGTATAAAAATGGTGCAATCGAACCCAAAACAGAACTTGACCTAGATATTTATCTGATAAATCTGTACACTAAATTTCATTTCAGTATGTGCAACGGTTGTGAAGAAAATGAACGAAAACTAAGTGGACCGACAGACCGACCGACAGACAGCAGCAAAGCAATATGCCCTCCCTTCTTCAAAAGGGGCATAAAAATTAGAAAAGCAAAATAGTGGTTCAAGGTACAGTGTATACGTGCTTTGAGCACTCACATGATTTACTGCTAAGGGGAGGCAAAATGATGTAAAATACAGTATTTATGAGGGAGTATCTCCTTTCATTCTCATTTTCTGAAGAAATCGAGGAAGGAAGAAAAAATGAAATGAAAACCTGGAAAAAGTTGGTGAAATGGAAAAGGAGGGGGTGAGGTTAGGGTGGTTCCCTTTCTAAACAATGATATAATATATCTGTTATGCAACGGCAGCTTGGCCCATTATTTTCTTTTAATTAACCATTAATCTAAAAATTTTATCACAAAAGAGCTTCAGTATACTGGTAAATGTCCTGATATAAGAAAAAGCTGTTGACTGAGTCAGTGCTTCTTGCAAAATTTCTAATTTCTTATCATAATGGATTATAAGTGACTAGAATCCTTGGTTTGTAAAGTAATATTTCAAATACAACGAATAATACCGTATTATACCAGGAATTTTAGCGAGGATTCAATTTTGGCATTTTTGGCAAGGGTGTTAAGATCACTAAAATTAATATGGCTAACAATTTATTCCACATTTCAGGTTACAGTTATCTTTCGTTGCACAATAACATTGCTAAAATTTTTTCTCACTAAAATACAGGTTTTTATAGACAAAATGCCAATTTTGTGTCTCGCTAAAATTTCTACTTATACAATACAGTACATGTATCAACCAATCGACCAAAAGATATTTATTACAAGTATGTAATTAACATTTTAACCAATGCTTAAAAGATGAAAAAATTGAGCTACATACACATGTTCATGGCAAGTATATTTTTACATGTACAATGAAAAATTAGTACAAAATTATACAATAGTTTTTCCCCCCAAAAATACATGTACAATACATTGCAAAAACATTAGAATCATCAATAATAACATTAAAACTCCATTCCTTATAAACTAAGACCACATACAGAAGTGGTATGCATGTGAAATATGAAATTATTCATTTGTTAATAAAGGTTCTGCAAACCAACTATTATTATTATTCGTGTCATCTTTTATTCACCATCCATCAGTTCACAATCAATCTGCAACAATTGTTTTTCATAACTGAGGAAACATTCTCTACAAAAACACAGCAAACTAAATGGTTCATGACGATAATTATTTGCTAGTTAACGTAAATTGCAAAACTTGCAGATATTTCTGGCACCTACACGAATAAAAGTTGTTTTACAGTATAGGGTTAAGTTTGCTTTCTTAACCAAACAGGTTGAGATGCGAATTAAAAACCTTTGTGTCTTTTATGTATCTATAAAAAAAATCATTACTTTCATCATTTTATAAAAATTAAAAGGCACCAAGTAGCATATTTAATAAATCATTCTATGAAAAAAGCTTAAAAACTTTATTTACTCCAAAATACATGTATCAATTCATATGAAACATAATCTATTCATAAATTATTAATATATTTAATTCTAGGCACAGCCCATTATAAAAGCATTCAGGATTTATTGTAGCAGCTACATGTAGCTAATATATACAAACTAAATTGCTCAGCAATTGACAAAAAGTAATGTATTTATATATATGCATCAAACTATAAGTATATATTTAAAAAAAATGGAATTCAATTTGTTAAATTACCATAAGCTAACTAGAGCATGGGGTAGGGGTATGTGCTGTACAGTGCCTACACTCTGCTGTGTAAGTACATGTACCTACTTAAAAATGCAATTATATAACTCTATAGTAGCAGAATGTGCCACATGTAGTTCCCTTCTCATGATCAAGTCACTATCCGAGGGTAAGAGAATGGTTCACATGGGGTTGAGATGAACAGTAAAAATGCCTCTTGTTCAAAAGGCACAAAATACAATAGTAAATGTTCTAAAATTAGCAATACCCTATATAATTTGGCATCCATAAAGAATATATCACAGGAATAAATGCAGATCTTTTTTTGAATATGTATCTAAACTGTTTTCAAGACACTCCTAAGGGACCAACAATGATCAAATAAATGTACATATTTATCCATAAAAAGTGTTATTTGTCTAATTATTTTCTCATGCTTAAAAACTTGTACTTCTTAAAAAATAATATAAACATGTAGTATATATTTTGTATACTAGAAAAGATTTTGTTGTGCATCTGCCAAAACTACCCCCCAAAATATTTTTTTTTATTTGTTCACTGTCTATGAAATTACACAGATTCGATTTGAATGGTTTGTTGTAGATGGAGGGGAGCGGATCGTAGGGGGTGGGGATGTACAAATGCAACCACACAAGGCACTTTGTCTGGCTTGTACGTCGTAGAACATAGACTGGCATTCATCAATGTATTCCTCATATAGATCGTCCAGCTGTCTCGCCGCGGCAATCTGCTCCTGACGGGCTGGCACCTCCAGAGCCACAGCACACTTGATTGTACAGGCCCAGTGTTGAAATGGAACACAGGTATTCCCTAGGTATGGATTCTTAAAGGTTATAACTTTGTAACCTAAAAAGAAAAGTAGGCAAGATTTTAAATACATGTACAGGCATGTTCTTGAAGCCAAAACAGGAACTCTCTCAAAAGAAAATTAGACTTTTCAAATTTGTTCAAATCATGATGACCAGGATTAGGATAGAGTCATTATTGGCAATCAACATTTACATGGGAATACATGTATATAGGAAAAAGTCTGTCAAGAACAGAAGTCTTATTAGTTACTCATCATTTATATGGAAACATCCTTGGGCAGTGTAGATTCAAGTTTTACCATGACCCCTTGGGATTATGGGCAGGCCACAATGGGTGATCAAAGTTTAACATATGATCATGTGGGGGGGGGGGATTTAAAATCTTTTTCTCAAGAACAGCAAAGCCATAAATAGTTATACAATAAACTTGAATTAACAACATTTCAGGAAGCTTTTGAGTTTCATCTTTTCTGGCCAAATGGTTTTGAGAAAAAGATTTTTTTTTTAATGTAACCAGCCAATATTCACTATTTCTTGTTTATCTCCCCTTGAAAGAGGGCATGGTCCTTCATTTGAAAATAAGAGGCCCATGGGCCACATCGCTCACCTGAGCACTACGGCTAAGAAATATATATATTTATATAAAATTTTGATCGTCCATTGTGGCCCCACCCTACCCCCAGGGGTCATGATGTGAACAAAATTGAATCTACAATACCTGAGGATGCTTCTACATTAGTTTCATCTTTCCTGACCCAGTGGTTCTTGAGAAGAAGATTTTTCAAACACGTTACCAAAATTTTACTCTAATAATTATCTCCCCTTGAAAGAGGGAGAGGCCCTTCATTTAAACAAAGTTGAATCCCCTTTATCCAACGATGCTCTGTGCCCAGTTTGGTTGAAATTGGCCCAGTGGTTCTGGAGAAGTTAAAAATGTGAAAAGTTCACAGACGTTAGGCGGACCACAGACAAAATGTGCTTGAGCTGAAAGCTCAGGTGAGTTAAAAAAAAGTAAAAGGATACAACAAATCTGGGAAATTAAACAAGAGGCCCACGGGCCTTATAGGTCACCTGAGCATTATGCAACAACTTTCTAGTTATTGAATTTGATTCCTGTTTTAAGCCAGATGCTATATGGCATTCACAAATTTGAAAGAGGCACCATTGATCATGATAACAATAGACTTAGCAGTTGCTTAGCTTGGTTACTGAATACCCATAGGCAGGGTAGGGGAACAAAAATGCATTCCAACTAATCAGTAATATTCAGCAATAATCAGTAGTGCCCCTAACACTGTGACATAAACCCCTGACCCTAGGTCCACACATTACACAAATTTTAAAAAGGCACCCTTAAAATTGCCTATCAAAAAACTAGAACTGTCCAAACGGGACAAAATACCCCCCGCTGGGTTTTTCAGAAGTAAGTTTTTCCATAATAAAGATATGCATCAAACACGAATTATGAAATTTTTCTTCCAGTGACCTTGAACTTCCCCAAATGACCTTGGGTCAAGGTTATGAGACACCCTTGGGTCATGGGCAATCTTTGAGTGAAATGAGAACCTACCAAGTTTATCCATAAGAAAGATATGGACCAGACACAAATTATGAAATTTTTCTTCCAGTGACCTTGAACTTCCCCAAATGACCTTGGGTCAAGGTTGTGACACACCCTTCGGTCATGGGCAATCTTTGTGTGAAATGAGAACCTACCAAGTTTATCCATAAGAAAGATATGGACCGGACATGAATTATGAAATTTTTCTTCCAGTGACCTTGAACTTCCCCAAATGACCTTGGGTCAAGGTCATGACACACCCTTGGGTCATGGGCAATCTTTGGGTGAAATGAAAACCTACCAAGTTTATCCATAAGAAAGATATGGACCGGACATGAATTATGAAATTTTTCTTCCAGTGACCTTGAACTTCCCCAAATGACCTCGGGTCAAGGTCATGACACACCTTTGGGTCATGGGCAATCTTTGTGTGAAATAAAAACCTACCAAGTTTATCCATAAAAGATATATATCAAACATAAATTTTGAAATTTTTCTTCCAGTGACCTTGACCTTCCCCAAATAATCTTGGGTCAAGGTCATGACACACCTTTGGGTCATGGGCAATCCTTGTGTGAAATGAGAACCTACCAAGTTTATCCATAAGAAAGATATGGACTGGACACGAATTATGAATTTTTCCTCCTGTGATGACCTTGAACTTCCCCAAATGACTTTGGGTCAAGGTCATGACCCACCCTTAGGTCATGAGCAATCTTAGTGTGGAGTAGTAGATTCTAATGTCCCTCTGTAAGAAAGATATGGACCTGACACGATTGCACAGACAGACGGACAGACAGACAGACGGACAAGGTGATTCCTATATACCCCCCAAACTTCATTTGCGGGGGGTATAATAAATAAATGTTTTATAAATACAAAGGAGCAGATTTTAAACAATTCATTTTCAGTATATAAGTCTGAGCCCCCCCCCCCCTTTGACCCTGGGGCCTTGAAATTCACAATTCTGCAAGATTAGGGCCCTTGCTCAGCATAACTATATAGGTAGTTCATCTGCTTCATACCCAGAGACAGAGAAGAAAATTTTCAAAGATTTAAGGCCATTTTTTTTTATTAGTTGTTTTTCAAGATCGCCGACTTAAAATTTGAGAAATTGAAAAAAAAATAAAATTTTTGTTAGGCTATTTTTTTACAAATGAAATTGCCGCCGAAAAATACGAAGTTAAACTTTTTGGAAACAAGAGGCCCATGGGCCACATCGCTCACCTGAGAAGCTTTGACCATTCTGTTCTTTACCAGATTTCCCCCTTTTAATACATATTGCGACCTCACCCTACCCCACTGATCATGATTTAGACATTTTGAAATCTACAATACCCCAGGATGCTTCGATGTGCACATATGTTTCAGCTTTTCTTGCCCAGTGGTTCTTGAGAAGAAGATTTTCAAAGAATTCTCCTATATATTTCTATGTAAAACTTTGATTCCCTATTGTGGCCCCGCCCTACCCCCGGGGGTCATGATTTGAACAATTTAGAATCTACACTACCTCAGAATGCTTCCATGTAAGTTTCAGCTTTTCTGGACCAGTGGTTCTTGAGAAGAAGATTTTCAAAGAATTTTCCTATATATTTCTATGTAAAACTTTGATTTCCCATTGTGGCCCCGCCCTACCCCCGGGGGTCATGATTTGTATAATTTAGAATCTACACTACCCCAGGATGCTTCCACATAAGTTTCAGCTTTTCTGGCCCAGTGGTTCTTGAGAAGAAGATTTTCAAAGAATTTTCCTATATATTTCTCTGTAAAAATTTAGTTCTGCTATTTTGGCCGAACCCTACCCCCAGGGGTCATGATTTGAACAATTTAGAATATACACTACCCCAGGATGCTTCCACATAAGTTTCAGCTTTTATGGCCCAGTGGTTCTTGAGAAGAAGATTTTCAAAGATTTTTCCTATATATTTCTATGTAAAACTTTGATTCCCCATTGTGGCCCTGCCCTACCCCCGGGGGTCATGATTTGAACAATTTAGAATCTACACTACCCCAGGATGCTTCCACATAAGTTTCAGCTTTTCTGGCCCAGTGGTTCTTGAGAAGAAGATTTTTTAATGACCCCACCCTATTTTTGTCTTTTCTTGCTTATCTCCCCTTGCGAGGGGACTTGGCCCTTCATTTTAACAATTTAAATTCCCCTTTACCCAAGGATGCTTTGTACCAAGTTTGGTCAAAATTGGCCCAGTGGTTCTTGAGAAGAAGTCGAAAATGTGAAAAGTTTACAGACGGACAGACAGACAGACGGACGGACGGACGGACGACGGACAAAATGTGATCAGAAAAGCTCACTTGAGCCTTTGGCTCAGGTGAGCTAAAAATGTGCCACATGCTGCAAAAATGTTGACAACCATGGAAAGGAGCATGTCATCAATACAGTGTTTCCAAACACCATTTGTCCTACTGGCAAAATTGATAGAAAATCGAAATTTCTTAGATGAAATTCACTGTACATCTTGTACCACCGGTCCATGTGACCGACTGGGGTGAGGGCTTGTCCTAATTAATTAATTGTTCTCTGATCTAATGTGATGTCTTCAATAAATGAAATTTTTTAATACAGTATGCTTCTATTCTTCGTAAATATCCACAATCTTATCTATTTTGCAATTCTACTTGACTTGTTTACTTCCAAAAACGATCGTTTTTACTTAATCCGAATTTCCTCCATTCTTCTGTTAATGGTAAACACATGCAGTATATAGGTCATGAAGTGCAATGCCCACTGAGAAAACATGATGATGATTTAAATTTATTTTTATTTTGAATTTCTATCAAATCTGCTCTTTATATATGATTCAATTAACAATTTTACAAGTGAGAATTAAACTTTTGAAATTAATTTTAATTGCCATAAGGCCAGATAAAATTAATCTTTAGATTCTCATCCCCGCCCGCCCCTCTCAAAGTGTCCCGCCCCGGTGTTTTTATTTTGATTTTTGGGTGTTAAAAGTATATTTTAATGTCTTTTTATTCAGTAAGAATTTGGATCAAAGTTTTAGAGTTATCTCCCGTTTGTATCAACAGTCGCGTGTCGCTATTTATAGCAAAAGAGCCATTTGAAGAATGGAGAAAAATCGGCAATAAAAGCAGTTTAGATATGAAAGGGAAAGATAATGCGTCAGTATAGAAGAGGCAGAGAAGAAAAAATAGCATAAACTTATCTTGATAAGCAAGTTTTTGAAGAGACTTTAAACTACTAGGTAAAAATTGATAAGGGAAATGCACCTGGTCAAGTTTTAACGATCTCTACTGTATGTGACTTTGTGAGTTTGTATAAAAGAAATATATATATAAAACATTGTTTGCAGAATTTAGAGAATAATAGTGTTAATAAAATATTAAATATTAAAACTGTTCAAGCCTAGGCTTTTCAGTAAAATATTTTATAGAGTTTGCAAATATGACCTACTGTCAAACGTAGAATCACAACAACAATCGAATTTTTGAGAAAGGTA